TTTATTTATTTATTTATTTAACTTTATGCAACAAAAGTACATAGGCGGGCTTAATGCCATGGGCATTCTTACTAGCCAACCTTTAGGTGATGCAGTGAGAGCGTGGTCGGTGCAATAAGTTGACAACTATATCTAATATAATTTTTAAAATGACAGTATACATACAACGGTCTATGGTAAATATAAATATTTTATTAATAAAGATCAATATATATATATATATATAAATAAATAAGTATATATGTATATATATGTGCAATCAAATATTCAAACATAAAAGAGATAGGTTATGAAGACTCTACCAACTTTCCACCCGAAATCCACTTACGAACTCCAACCTTGAACGCCTGCTTACTGGAGGACTTCCTGACTTCCAAGGGTAGCCTATTCCACAGAAGAATAGATTGGATGTGAAATGATGAGTGGACAGTATCGGAACTGTGAGAAGGACAGTGAAGAAGAAGATTGTGAGAAGAACGAAGATTTTTAGAGTGTCCCAAGTAACGGTATTGAAAATAAGGAGTCAGATACGAAGGGGGAGTGGGAGAATGAAGGATTGAGAAAAGGGTTGTCAAAACACGGAGAGCCCTTCTCTGCCGGATGGGCATCCATTTCAACTCAGACCTATGCCCAGAAACATGATCGTATTTGCGCAAGTTAAAGACAAATCTAATGCAGTTGTTGATAAGACGATCAAGCTTGTTGAGCAGGTCCGAGCCGAGATCGTAATAGCACACGTCACCATAGTCGATTATGGGAAAGATGAGGGACCGCACAAGCATTGCCTTGGTCGTGGGTGGTAGAAACCTTCTATACCGGTTCAGATTACGCAAGGCACCAGTAACGCGTTGGCTGACACTGGAGACCTGAGTCCGCCAGCTCAACGTAGCATCAAGATACAGACCGAGATTCTTGACACTTGAACCAATAGGAATCACCGTACCATCGAGAGTTATGGGAGGAAGATGTGCGAACACCACCCTGTTCATCATACGGGGACTACCAATAATAATACCCTGGCATTTCGTGGGGTTTACTGCCACACCAAACCGGCCAGACCATCCACTTATAGCCTCCAAGTCCCTATTAAGCCTGTCAATGGCCACTGACAAGTCTTCCGGCCGAGCCCGAGCGTAAATCTGAAGGTCATCAGCATATATTATGCAGCAGCATATAGCAGCATACTATTACATGGGACTCATAACATAAATAGTAAAAAGTGGGTGTTACATTGTACAGTGGCATTAAGTGCCATAATGTGCACCTCTGCCTACCCCTTCGGGGATAAAAGGCGTGATATTATGTTATGTTATGTTATGTTATAGAACAATAGGTTGCGGTCACCGGTGACCGCTTAGTGTTTGACAGTTTAAGGTAAGGTGGGCAAACGCGTAAACATATCACCTGATGGTAAGCAATCGGTGCCTCTGCACTACTGGTCTTTAGAGAAACGCAATATTTGGGCCTTATAACTATTTTAATTCAAATTTTTGGTTCACAGACAGCAGTAGTGGGATCTCGAGTGACATTGCCATGCAGGGTGGAGAACAAAGCAGGTCAGCTGCAATGGACGAAAGATGATTTTGGACTCGGGCTACATCGAGAACTGAGTGGCTACGACCGGTACAAGATGATTGGAAGCGACGAAGAAGGTAATTACTATTTTTACATTTCGATCTTTTATTTTACGTATTTGAAAACGTCAACTTGACTGACTGCCTCGTTGGCCGAGTGGTCGCAAGTGTGACTGCCGGGGAAGGGGTCTCGGCTTCGATTCTCGGGTCGGCCAAAGTATTACTGGGTTTTAAAAAAATCTCAGTAGTAGCACAGAGTCTGGAATTGTGCCCGGTATATGGTAATAGGCTCACCCCCTATTACATGGGACTCATAAATAGTGAAAAGTGGGTGTTGCATTGTACAGTGGCATAATGTGCACCTCTGCCTACCCATTCGGGGATAAAAACGTGATGTTTTGTTATGTGAAAACGTCACATCTTTCTGCTTGTGTCGTAAAAACCAACTGAGGAACTACTCATTTGACAAAGAACAAAGCAACGCTCTCTGATAAATTTAATCTTTAAACTGTGATCACGTCTGCCAAGCATGGGAATTATGGCAACCACTTTTATGTAAATATAAGTCATAGGCCAGATGAAATATCACGAACTATGAATGTTGATTTTGTATTCTCAAATGAAATAGAAGATAATACAGACCATATAACAAAAAAAGAGGAACGATGACTCCATTTTAGGATTTCTCCTGTATCATGCGTTAACAAACCCAAACATACACAATACATGTCATTACACCCAGACTTGAAACAGCAATTTGCAGAGTACACAAAGAGTGGTTTCGTACCGGAATCCACATCCCCGGTTGCCCAGCCACTGCGCTCACCGAGCAGTCAAGTCAATTTCGTGTTTCTAGATTGTTCCTTATTTCGTTGTCGTCCGCTGGGACTTGCTAAGCTTCTTACCCTTCCTTGTAAGTACGAGGAAACAATTGGATACATTTGGATCGATAGCATTATTTTCTAAGCAAAATACTTTTTTGGTATTTATTTTACTGGTTACAAATTTTTAAAACTGCAGAGTTTTAAACAGATTCGACTGAATGTCGGTAACTTTTATATGTACTTCAAAACCTTTTAAGGGTGATGCCACATTCTTAGTCGACACCACATTTTTTTGGCACCGCTTATTGACACCCGGAACGTTACAAGTGCGTTACCGGCCTTTTGAGTATTGTTGGAGACTCAGGGATTGTGGAAAATGGGGGGAGGGTGATGGGCCTCCGGGAACCTCACTTACACGTCGAAACGCAACGCAAGCGTTGTTTCACGCCGTTTTTCTTTGAAGCCGTGGTATCACTCCGGTTAAGCCGGCCTATTCGTGCCGAAAGATGTCTTAAACCCACATCGTAAGATAATTGTATCAACCCAACAATTCTGCAACAGACACAATTGTTTCAATTTAATAATAACTCTGAACTCTCCACCTATTCATCCAAAAGTACTTAAGTACTACACAAATTACTATCATCACAACACCGTAAATAAAAGGGTTCTTTGAAACAGAAACCCTTTAATAGATAAAGTGTCGCCAAGATCAGTTCGTTGTGAACAAAAGCTATTAACACTACCACAAACTGGTAGTTGCGACTGTTTGTGGCTTTTTGCAGTTGCAACTCGTTAACTGAGAACTAATGTTCCATGGGAAACACTTTGTGACCAACCACTAAAAGATAAATCTTCTACAAACGTTAAACAGGGCGTGTAACTGACAGACAAAGGACTCTTTTGTTTTTTTTTATGGCATAAGCCGGTAAACGAGCAGACGGATCACACGATGGTAAGCAATCAGCGTCCCCCATGGACACTTGGAACACCACAGGCGTTACAAGTGCGTTACCGGACTTTAGGGAATTAGGAGTTTGAGGATCGTTGGGGATTCAGGAATTGGGAAGATTGGGAAAGGGGAGGGTAATTGAGCCTCCGGTAACCTCACTCACACGACGAAACACAACGCAAGCGTTGCTTCACGTCGGTATTCTGTGAGGCCGTGGTATCACTCGGGTCGATCCGGCCCATTCGTGCCGTAGCATGGCTCTCCCACAGTTAGATTTGTGCTATTGAAAAATAGATACAATATGATAACATAAACTACTATGACTAAGTTCATAAGAACTTAGTCTGACTTGACGGTCGAGGATTTGGAAATGCGACTGCTGATCATATAAAATCTCGCTCATCTTAGACTAATGGCATTTAATTGCTAGTGCATCGAGTAAATAGAATAGGTAAAGAGTTCCTAAGGAATTGATGCTGATGATCATCAACAGCCTGTAAGTGACCACTGCTGACCAAAGCCTCTTCTTACACGGCCGGTCCACCACGACACTGACGCTTATATCCAATAAATAGTAACAAAACTGATCATACAATAGGCAATATTAACCCTTAACATAATTGGTAAAACATAGGTAAAGGGATTGGTAGAAGACATCACATAAGATGAACTTCTAATGTACATATATACCTCTATAGACAATAAAGAACGAAAAGGGATTCAATATACCAGCTATGAAGATGAAAACAGTTCCATACACACAAAGATGCAGCACTGAAGACTTTTTCGACCCACAAAGCCTGAAACCTCACGGGAGATTGAAATTTGTATGATCAAAGTTACAAGACCTGCGCCAAGGTATAAATAGATAACCAATTTCGAATATTCAATTTAGTTTAATAATACTGCAGTGGCGTAGAATTCTAAAGGAGAATTTCGTCTCTTGTAAAGCTAAACATTTCTTGGAGTGAAATAGCACGGGAAATTATCTGAAGACTTCAAGTCAATTGATGGCGTTTCAATTCGGCCATTTTGATTTTGCTGGCTTAGGTCGTGAAGCAGCTGACGAAGCTTAGATATTTTGCTGTGAAACCGAAGTCAAAATGAATTAGCATTTCTACTATTGCTAGTGAAACAATTGTCATTTCGTTGTAGTTTTTTTCGGAATTTTTGCTTTTTACTTTTTGGACTGACTACCTCGTTGGCCGAGTGGTCGCAAGTGCGACTGCCGGGCTAGGGGTCTCGGGTTCGATTTTTGATTGGGCAAACTATTACTGGGTTTTTAAAAAAATCTCAGTAGTGGCACGGAGTCTGTAATTGTGCCCGGTATACGGCAATAGGTTCACCCCCTATTACATGGGAATCATAACATATACAGAGAAAAATGGGTGTTACATTGTACAGTGGCATTAAGAGCCGTAATGTGCACCTCTGCCTACACCTTCGGGGATAAAAAGGCGTGATGTTGTTATGTTTTTGCTATTTACTTTTTATACTGTCTCATTGGTGTCACAATTTCATTGTATTTTAAATACTTCAGCATTTTTAACCTGAAACACAGGTTTGCACCTAGTTTAGGTTTTAGATATAAATTTTAGACTTTGTTTAGGTAGCAAGATTTATTTTATATTTGGGCTTTTTACACCAAATGAACATTTTCTTTTTTGGTTGAGTGATTTATTCATTTCTGATGAATGTAAGAATCAGATTTTTAATATTTTTGGCTGGCACGATACCAAATTTACAGTAATGACATGAAATTTTAAGTTAATTTCATCTTCTTTAATGTTACAGAAAAATTCTTAACAAAGCTGTTCAAAATAAATTTTGATATATCTACCTCTATTTGTGGTTCGTTTTACAGTAAACAAGAGCCAAGCCATGGTATTACTTCAGACGATTTTTACCAAATAAAATTCTCCCCTGAATACCAATTTCAGTTTCTTATTATTTCGTCAGCATTTAGAATTTTATAGCTGGCTCAGAACGCCATAAAATCTACCTTAACAAAAATTTGATAACCAGTGTTATATAGGTATATATAGGTAGGTAGCGTTAGATTTTCTTCATTACATTTTTAGCCCTAGTACCAAAGGAGTCGTAAAAAATGTTAAATATAAAAATGCTTATAAAACATAAAACTCCCTAATTCTAAATTTTAATTATGACTTGATCTAATTACTAAGTTAGCACTACCCACTAAATGGGTGTCTGGTTTTCATTAGACATCTTTAAGTATTGTTGATGCTTTATTTTCGCTCTTAGCTTAATTATTGTGTGTTTTTACGTCGCGAGTATTTTTTTTGTTTTCGTTAATATGTATTTTCTTGTTGGCTTATATTTCACTATTACTACATAGTATAAAACAAAGTCTATGCACCGTCTGTCTATCCCTATGTAGGTATGCTTAGATCTTTAAAACTACGCAACAGATTTTGATGCGGTTTTATTTTATTAGATACGAGTGATTCTTAAGGTAGGTTTATATGTATAATGCATGCATATTGCACCCGTACGAAGCCGGGGTGGGTCGGTAGTTACAATATAAAAACAGAACTGTGTTACTGTTAACACCTTTATAAATATCGATGTGTATATTATGCCTTAAACGAATTGGCAAATTAGACTTACAATTCAATTCACATTGCCCAAATTATTATTTTCGTACGAAAGCATGCGCGATCTATCTGATAACTGAATTTTTCTTTGGTATACCATATTTTTCATGTAAGTAGTGACTTCTATAAATACGAAAATGGTTTACATCTCCATTTAAATTCACATTTATGTCCTAGCATGTCTAAAACGTCCTCAAAGTCACCTTACCATGTTATGTCTGAAATATATTCGACCGTTCTATCCCCTTCGCCTTCGCTACCATTTTTCTGAATGATTGATTCGAAAATAGTGCCACAAAAAACATATTCGTATCACTTATTCATAAATTGTCCACAATTAACAAGAAAAGTGGGGTTTTATTCGATTTTATCTTTTGTTGTTATATTTTTGAGCAATGGAAAAATGTATAATTATTTGTTTGGAAAAATATTGTAGCTACTCGTTTATTCTTTGGTATAATATCACACTAGATATTGTTCAAAGGGGAAGGGAAGGTGTACTTACACGAAACTACATTTTAGCCATTTGTGATACGATTGAAATAACTTCACACTTTGAACCATAAATAAATATTGTACTACAGATATATCTTTTAATCACTTGATTAAAATTCACATTGTTCATACAAAAGTAGCATCTATAACATCGGTGATAATGTCTATAATGGAGTGAGTAGTGAGCGGTCACCGGTGACCGCTCGGAGTGCACTCATCCAAGAATGATTTTCAAAGTAGGTTGCAGTTATGGTTTAAACTGTCAAACACCAAGCGGTCACCGGTGACCGCAACTCGTTCCGTTCTATAATTGTGTCTATAATGACGGTACTCGACGAGTTAAAATAAAAACTGTTTTCTTTATAAAGAAAAACAAATTTGATACAATAAACAATCGTGAACGGGAATTGTGGATACTGAAAAAAACTCATTACAAACTAAATATATAGAAAAATATAGTTCCAGAATCATACATAACTAAACAACAAGCACTATTATGGCTAAAGGTTTAAAAATAATATGAAACACTACGTTTTGTATCAAGACATGCACAATCGAAACATCTGTATTCAATGGACAGAAGGTACTTCAATGCACAGAAGGAAATATACAGTAACTATAATATAGGTACTAGACAATAATATCTTAAAGTCAGTGAAACAACGTAGGTATATTGTTGTAAACTTCATAATATGTGTGTGTGGTTGTTATTGTTTATTATTCATTTAAATCCTTTTCTGTGGTTGTATATTTTCTTAGAACTAGAGAATTTAATCTGGATAATGCACTGCATTATCTTGATAAACCTAAATGGCAATAATATGAGTATCAATGTTATTGTACTAGTAACTATTGTAAGATTATATAGTGCCTTAACTGTTACTCCTATCTAACAATATTGATATCCATCCATGCTTAAAACTACGTAGATTTTTTATACCATTTGCGAACCACACAGATGCCACACATTACTGTGTCCGTCCATACATTATTTCTTCAGGAAAATAATTTAATTTTATTTTTGTAATTTAACTCGACCCAAATTTATCGCTAAAAACCTATTTCGATTAAGACTTTGACTGCCAATAAAAAACTGTTGAAGGTAAATCCTCCGCTAACGCCGGTCACCGGTGACCTTCATGGCGTTTAACGTGTTAATGATGGTATCCTAACATTTAACTAAATATTTTTATCATTAAATTGTTTTTTCTATTCGCAGGAGACTATTCCTTGGACATCAGAGACGTAACATTGGATGACGACGCTAAATATCAGTGCCAAGTCAGCTCTGGAATCAAAGGTATGTATCGAAATAAATACTTTATAATATAACAGTTATGAATTAATTTTCAAAATGATATGGTCAAATTGCATGGTGCGAGTAATGCTACTGACATAGCCGTCTCAATGTCATAAGCCAAGAACGTATTTCATTTGTTATCATGACTTGCAATTTGACTGTATTCATACGTGTCCATATTTTGAAATGTTTAATGTCTTTAAAAATATATATCTTGCGGATGGCAATTCGTATTATATTGGCAAATTACTTAACAACAGCTCAACGGCGAAACTTTAAATAAAACCCACCCTTTTCTGACTGCCTCGTTGGCCGAGTGGTCGTATGTGCGACTGCCGGGCAAGGGGTCTCGGGTTCGAGTCCCGGGTCGGGCAAAGTATTACTGAGTTTTTAAAAAATCTGGAAATGTGCCCGGTATATGGCAACAGGCTCACCCCCTATTACATGGGACTCATTACATAAATTGTGAAAAGTGAGTGTTACATTGTATAGTGGCATTAAGTGCCGAATTGTGCCTACCCCTTCGAGGTTAAAAATGGCGTGATGTTATGTTATGTTACCCTTTTCCAAGTATCCACTTAAACCCAACTTAATCTTCATTTAAACCTGATTTCCAAAAAATTAACCAGTTGTCGTTAAAAACTCACTTGATCGTGCAATTATTAAATATAACGAAAACCAGACCACTTACGAGGATCACCAGAAAAACCAACATCCATTAAACCAATAATGGTCTCAAAAATAAATTGGAAATCTCCAATAATGTACCTTATTTTGGAATAAAGTGATCTTCCTGAGCCATACGGCGTGTAATTTGAAATAATAAATCAGTATACGGCACACAAAATTACGATACAGTAGCGTACAAACAGACGCTTGTTAGGGGCAGCATGCGAGGAAAAAATGAATTTGGTGGACCAAGTCTTAAGAGACAAGCGGTTCTAAGAAAAAAAATGAAATAATATACGCTTGGGAGCGTAGAATCGGTGCCACTAGCGTATTTTTCTTTACATTCCATTAATTGATAATAATATAAATGAAATTATTCAGTGAGGCTAATAAAATTAGGCTTCCCAAATAATTAATAGTGCAACTTTTAATCATAGAGCTCTTTAGTGGCATTTGTGGTCCTTTTGACATATTATATGGCTAGGACTTCGCTTATTAGTGTTCGACCACATTTTCACTGGAGATTTAGAACATTATTGGTTTTCACTATTTACCTAATACGAACATTGATTAAATTAAATTCTCATACAGTCAATGCAATTAGAAATGATTTTGTTTGTTGATGGACACTATATATTTGTATATTATTCATTTACGTTTAAAAAACCGACTTCAAACCCCTTTGTTTTTAAGTCGGTAATTCATATATTAAAACTTCTTTTAAATGTAATAAATATTTTTCTGAAAACCAAATAAAAATCAGTTCAGCCAATTACGAGATAGTCACAAACATACGTACATACATACATTCATGTCGAACTGAGAACCTTCATCCTTTTTTGAAGCCGGTTAAAAATACAAAATATGAACAATATATGAAGATGAAACATCCGAGAATAAAGATAAAATTAAATGATAGAACAATAAATTATCGTAGTCATGCTGATACTTTTTTCTGATTTCAATTCAGATAATATTAGTACAAGCAAAATGAGTTTAATTAAGACAGCACTGAATTCTAAAAGTAAAATTAAATCTACTACTAAAACAATTTGAATATCATCGAAAATACAACTGAAGTAACAACACAAATGAAAAACAATAGAAGAAAAGGAAACGAAGTAGAAAAACTGAACTAAAACATCAATTCCGTTGAATTGTTGCTAGCACTTTCTGGTTGGAGTACTGCCAACGCCGTAATTGAAAAAGAGCGTAAAGATAACCGAGTATAGTACTTGACATAAAGTAACAGATAAATACTACAATTTGGTGTCGTAAGAGGCTCTGCTATAATTTGGTGTTTACTTGGAAACTTTTAGAAAAGGTATCGTTTATCTTTATAGAGATGGTATTAGCAAAATTGGACTCTGTTTTTAACCGAAAAAAGAATGATCTCCTTTTGAACTGTATGTATGTACGTTTGTGGGCGATAATCTCGCGATTAGCTGAACTGATTATCATGCAGTTTTCAGATAAGTATTTGTTAGACTAAGGACAAGGTTTTATTTGCTGTATTAATTAACCAACTTTAAAAAAAGAGGCGGTTGAAGTCGGATTTTTTAAATTTAAACGTGGTTTGTAAAATAATATTGCAGATTCAATTAAAAATGAAATTAGGTAAAATATTTTGCAAATTGACGAACTCAATAATATTTTGTATAAACCTATGACAATCATCATCATAGCCAATGCAATATTATTTGTTGCTGGATAATTAAGCGCTAGATTCAAGACCTTCCATCTAATGATACTAACAAAAACTTTCTATTTCCAAAAATCACTACAAATATTGTCCTTGCCTTCTAAAACTTAACCCATTGTTCTAACAAACGTCCTTGACGTCCCATTACGTAAGTAAAGTCACCAAAACTTTCTTGTACTTATTAAACACATTTCTTGGTTCTCAAACGTTGACCCTTCGTACCCTTATTACACAGTTCAATTTCCAACATAATTTGAATATATTATTACTATAACATAGTTACCGAGAATTGTATACTTCCAAGTCCCGAAGGCTAAGCAAACAAAGTTGTGGACAATACTCTAACCAATATACTTGTACCATTACAGTTCATGTATCGTATTTAATTTATGGACTCATTGTATATTTTTATATTTTATCACTACTCAAGAGGATATACCAGTATTAATTGAGTTTCGTGCGTTTTAATGGATTGAAACTGTAGATTAATATTTAGCTTCGTGATGGAATGGTTGTTAGAGGTTTTAGTTCTAATGCTCGAGCCAACCAAAATATTATTAGCATTTTAAAATGAGTAAGGATACGATAAGTCCATATTTGGCATTTGATAAAAGGATAATTTATTGTTGGAGCCGCGGACAACTTTACAGGTTACCGGGGATCCAGCTCAAAGCAGGAGTGGGAACGGTATGGTTGTTAGTCAGTAAGAGTCTAACACTCTCTTGCCTTATCTAAGGTGGGAGAAGTCTTTCGATGGTTCTTTTATTTAGAAAAAGGGTAATTTATTATATTCAATTTACTTACGCCATTACGAATTTTAAATATACCTAAATATAGAAAATGAGATCTAAGAGGGAATCAGAAGCAATTTCTGATGACGAAGGAAATTTTAATAGTGATGATGATGACAAAGCTGATGCTATAAATGAATCTGATGATGACGAGGACAAAGAACCTATAAAAAATAATCATGTTTACCCTTTCTCATTATATTTTATCACCACTTGAAGAAATTTAGTACCACTAATTGATATCTTTTAATAGATTGAAGTTATCGATATAGATTACTGGCTCGATTTTACTGCCATTGAATAAGCTAGAAAACATGACAGCAATGGAAGATTAAATACCAATCATTGATAATCTTTAACCTGAGAGGGGAATAAAAATTAATTCTTTATCAAACATGAATATATTAGTATTGATTACACTTGGTTCCCACGGTTTATGACTGCTAATGATTTGGATCTAATCTTTATTGACTTTTGTTATTTAACACCTCGGCTTTGGAAGGGACAGGATAAAATACAAGTTGGTATTTCATTTCCACAGAGTGTTCTAATTCTGTTTCGAAATTCGAATGTTTTCAAAAATTTTGAGAATGAATAAGCGAAAAAGTTGTTGTCTCGTAATTATTTTGAGATAATTTCAAGGCTATTTTCATTACTGGCATACAAATAACTGGCACAAAACTGGTAAAACATTTAACAAATAATAAGATTTTTAAGATAAAAAGGGAAGATAATTTTGGAACCATTGTTCGCTACTAATCCGCTCACCTCTCATGGCTTATACCAAAGCTAATTCTTTCGATCCAAGTAACTATTGTTTTCGTACTTGAGCTGAAGCCTGCGAAATTGTGTTTGCTTTTAATAAATTGAAAATCTTGACTCGTATTTTATTCTTGGCCCTGTTTTCAGGCCTTCGTTTCACGATTTTTCTCCCCATTTTTATATAATACCTATATTTTTAGGGGCTTGTAATCCGTCCTGATGGATTTTGAAAGTTTGGGCCTTGAGCAAAAGTCTGATTGTTTTTTTCTCAGCTGGGTAACATCAATTTGGGAAACAAGTTTATGTCGTAACATAAATCATTTGCCACGAAGCCAATTGTCATAATACTCGCGTTTTCTCTAAGGAACAATCCTTTGTGTTTTTCTCTACAAAATTTGCGTGGTTTAATATAATTTTTGTTATTCGCTTTTTGTATGTGAACTCCTTTGGGTTTTGTTTGATTAGATCTATTCTTACGTAAAGTTTGTAGTTGTTACAATAAATGTAAGACATTTTCAAATTGAATGTTTAATATTAGTTACTTCTCAAATTCTTTAGTTTTATGTAACGTTCTATATTTTGTATCCACATTAAGAGTAATTATGTTATTTGGAGTAAGTAGGGATAACACTACCAAATAAATTATGTCATGCCAAACAAAAGGAAAAAAGATGGGTTCTTTAGTTTTATCAATGCTTTAACCACCAAACAACTACCTATTAGCACCACTAAGAGCAAAATTAGAAACAATAAAACCACTTAAACCTATACATCAATATACCCATAATCCACCCCAACAGTACCATTATCATCTGCCATCAATTCCTCTATATTTCCATCTTAATGCCTGTCAATACGTCCATTTGCCGATTGGCAAGAATCTGCTCAATTGTGTTTGTGAATGGAGTTGCAATCTGTCAGTAGCTGTTCACTATTGACGCATTAGTCACATACTAGCTTGTCGATGTCAGTCAAGCCTAGCTATTCTGCTTTGTTCGTTATTGACGTTTGTAGGTTAGTTCGTACCAAGATTGGAAAGAGGATTTCTTGTTAGGACTTTTGCTTCAGTTGTTTTG